CTATTCCTACTCATGGTGACCCCATGTCTGCAGAACAAAACTGCTCCAAAGGGTTTGGAAGCAGATTGTTAGGTCTATTTTCTAAGGCACCAAACTTTCAGCTAGTAGTTAAGTGTTTATTCATTTGTCTCACCCAGGGCTCCTTTCTGGTAGTGTAGTGGTTATGCATTGGGTAAAGGTCAGCAGTTTGAATCTACCAGCCACTCCAGGGGAGAAAGATTAGACATTCTGTTCCCATAAGATTTACCGCCTTGGAAACCCTATACAGGTTTACTATGAGCCGGAACTGAATCCACAGCACATCACCACCAGGGACTCCTTTAAAAGAGAGTACCCTCATCTGTCAACTGAAGGCCTTGAGAGCAAACAGGTTTCACAGAAAAGAAGAAAATCTGTCTCAGAGTTAGAGCATAGAAATCTTGCCTGCGCTTCCAGCTGGCTGCCTGACCTGCTGTTTGTGGACTTGTCAGTCACCACATGAGTCAATTCCTTAAAATAAATAAGTAAATTCATCAGCCTGCCTACCTAACAAAGGAACTCTGGTAGCGCGGTGGTTATGAGTCAGGCTGCTAACCTCAAGGTCAACAGTTCGAAACTACCAGCTATTCCGTGGGAGAAAGATGAGACTTTCTGCTCCTGTAAAGATTTACAGCCTCAGAAATTTTATACAGGGTCGCTATGAGTCAGAACTGACTCTGTGTCATGCCACCATCCATCACCACCTGCCAAGGAAGCTTGGTGGCACAACGATTAACTGATTGGCTGCTAACCAAAAGGTTGGTAGTTCAAACCCACTTAGCAGCTCTGCGGGAAGATCTGCTCCGTGAAGAGTTCATTAACTCTATGGAGGTAGCTCTGCTCTGTCATAAGGGGTAGTTTTGAGTTGAAATTGGCTTGATGATACTCAGTAACAACCTACCTATTTACCTACCTCCCTGCCTAGCTACCATCCATCCATCCCCACCTACCTTCCTACCTACCAACAGATTTATCATGCTTGACAAAATAGAGGGTCCGCGAAAAAGCAAAAGACCCCCACCGAGATGGATTGACACAGTAGAGGCAGCAATGGGCTCAAACGTAAGAACAATGGGCTCAAACATAAGAAGACGGTGCAGGACTGGGCAGTGTTTAGTGTGTTATGTATAGTGTTGCTATGAGTGGGAACCAATTCAGTGGCACCTAAACAACAATACCAAATATCTATCAACCGGCTTTATTGGCTCTGCTTCTCTAGAGAAATCTTACTAATACATCTCCACCACCCAAAGAAGTGATATTCACCTTCTAAAAGTATCAGATTGGTATCAAATGAACACACTCCACAGATCAGGATAAAATGATTTAATTAAAATTTTTAAGTACCACAATTAGCATGCTGTCCTACCCTATGAACATAAAACATTGCAGGCAAGATGAGTTTATTTTTCAATAAGTCTTAGAGCAGTACCTGGCACATAGCAAAATGTTCCACGGTTGCTAAATCAGTTTTTTAAATACAGAAACAAGCATTTGAAAATGTGTGGCTTGATTCATCTCCCTTTGACCTTTTTCTTCCTGCCCCCGTCTTCATACCTTCTAAACCAGTGGGAAGAGGAGGGAGGAAGATATCAGTGGGTCCCTCAAGGACAGAGGCAATGAAAACTCATGGGCTGTTCCTCTGCTTTAAAAGTCACAAGAACCTGTGGGGAGTGAGGAGTGAACTGGTAAGAGATAGCCAGTCACTGGGCTTTGAACACCACTGTCAGTCTGCTGCTGTGACCACACTGTGGGCTGCACTTGCTGTGGGTCCCTCCCCAAGTCCATGCTCCTGTGGCTCCCTCCCCCTTGAGATGGACAATGCATGTCTGTGCTGACAAGGGATCCTAGGGTGCCAGCTGTCATAACTGGGCTTGCAGTGGCCCTGAGCTCCCCAAAATGGTGGGCAAAATGGTATCTAAAGCACACATACACATATTGTTGTTGAGTGAATTCCAACTCTTGACAATGCCATATGTGACAAAGTAGAACCAAGCTGTAATCTTTATGCAAACAGATTGGCCTTTCTTACAGTGTCAATGGGTGGGTTCTAAGTACCAACCTTTAGGTTAGTATTTGAGGGCGTACTTTGCTCAAATCAGGGATCTGATGCTGAATATAGATTTACATTTTGGGGAGGAAAGTCTGTAGCTTGTATTTGATTTTTTTTTCTAAATTTTTTATTGTGAATTGGGTGATAGTTTACATGAGAGAACATCAGCTTTACATTCATCTTATCGTATTTCATTTCAATGCAATGATTATAATCCCCTCCATTCATCATCATTCAAAAGTATTTGCTTCCATTCCCTCTTTTTTTTTTTGGATGGACACTTACCAAAGCACTAAGGAAAAAATAACCATTCAAGCAACCAAAGGGTACATCCCGCAAGCCTGCTCTCTGCTGTCAGCACACAGCCCTTCTCCCTCCTTGAGTCCAGAGTCCCCAGCTGCTCCATCTCTCCACATCATCGTCTCTGCCTCCATCTCTGGCATCACTGCTTCTCTGAATAGGGTCTCGCACTCCACTCTTCAACTTTGATGGTCCCAGGGACCTCCACTTCTGGACTGCAAAATCAACCACTCCCATCCTTTTGTTACAAAATGTCTACCTTTACATTTGCAACTCTCACAATCAGTCCTGATAGCAGTTATCCACTATTGAACCACAAGAGTCTTATCCCCATCTCCTTTCACCAGCCCCATCCAGACAGGTTGGAAACCACTCAGTGGAAATTCAACCTCCCCCCTGCACCCTCTGGAACTAGGATCCCTTTGCATTTGATTTTCAAAGTGTCTGTGACCCAAAAAACCACTGCTTTTAGTTATGCAGAGTTCCTCCCTGACATGTCCTAGCCAGAACCTCCCAATTCCAGCACACATAGAGGATCCACTGCTTGTTACATGAACTAAGGACAGGGTCAGGTTTGGCCAAATGTGTTCATTTGAGGATGACCAACAATACTTAGGAGTTACTTTTCGTTTGTCTTGCGTGCAGGTTGTGTTTTGAATCATGCATTGTTTTAATATCCAACACTCTTCAAGAACAACCAAACAGGCAAGCTTTCAGGAGGTCATAAATGCCACTGGGACTAGAGATAGCAGCTGAAGAAGGTGGGCACTCAGGAGCCTTCTGCAAATCTAACAGAGGTGTTCTACTTGCTTTGAGGTAGTAGAAGCTCCTGCTGGAAATGTTCAATTCCATGCCCAATTCCCTTTCCATCATCCATCTGTGAGAAAGGTTCTTAGGTTAATCGTGTGTGTAAAGAGGAAAAGCAGGTATGTCCCTGAGTTGGGTGGGAGGCACAGCACTGCAAAAGCCCCGCCCCCTCAAGTCCAGGTGTTACCTCTTGTCTGAAGTCACTGTGATAGTGGTTGTAGCCCTTCCGTCTGCCATGATACCTGAACTCTTTCTTCTTGATATTCATCCTCAAGGGGAGTGCTTTCTCCTTCATCTTAGTGCTGTAAGGAGTAAATTGGTTCTAGATTGAGAAGCGTGAGTGGGAAATGTGTGTGTATATGTGTGTGTAGGGGGGGAGGTGTGTGTAGGGTGTGAATAAGGAAGAAGCAGGAGCCTAGAAGGAGGCCAGAACCATACCATGAGGGCAGATGACAACAAGAGGAGGGGTGTGCTTGTCACATATACCACACCTTCAGTTACAGTCTTATAAATTCATGGAAAATGGAATTCAAAGATGAAGGAATTTTTCCACCGATTATTTGAAGCCCTCTCGTATTACCTGACAATCTAGTTCTGAAAGCTCACAGCCATTGAAAACCCTACAGAACACAGTTCTGTATTGATTGACAAGAGGTCGCCATGATTCGGGATTGACTCAGTGGCAACTGGTTTGATGTAGGGTATTAGCTAGGATATTGCTTCTTCGACTTTAATAGAAACCAAATTACAGTGACTTAACAAGACTGAAGCTAATTTCTCTCACCTATAAAGAGGAGCAAAGATGCCAGCTTGAGAACTAAGGTGTGCCTGACCCAAGCCATGGTATTTTCAATAACCTCATATGCATGCAAAAGCTGGACAGTGAATAAGGAAGATTGTAGAAGAATTGCTGCGTTTGAGTTATGGTGTTGGAGGATAATATTGAAAGTGCCATGGGCTGCCAAAAGAACAAACAGATCTGTGTTGGAAGAAATGCAGCCAGAATGCTCCCTGGAGGCCAGGATGGCCAAACTTTGTCTCTCATACTTCGGACATATTGTCAGGAGGGGCCAGTCGCTGGAAAAGGATATCATGTTTGGTAAGGTGTAGGGTCAGAGAAAAAGAGGAAGACCCCCAGCGAGATAGATTGGCAAAGTGGCAGCATCAGTGGGCTCAAGCATGGCAACAGTAGTGAGGTTGGCCCAGAATCAGGCAGTGTTTCATTCTGCTGTGCATAGGGTTGCTATGTGTCAGTACTGACTTGATGGCACCTAACAACAACAACAATAAAGTCTGAGCTAGTGGGTAGTCCAGAAAGGTGAGAGAGACCCTGCACTGTGACATTGCCCAGGGCCCCAGGCTCTTGTGGCCTTGCCATATATGAAAGTACTGTCCTTTCCCAAAGTGAAAGCTGCGTCACCACCTCATCCACCTCCCAGGAGCAAAGGGAAATGGAGGGCATATCGTTTCCTTTTTAAGGATTACTCAGGAGTTGAACTCATTACTTCTACTGGCCAGAACATGCCTTTCCTAGCTGCAAAGGAGTTGAGAAAATATAGCTCCAGTTCTCAGAGGTCATGATCTCAGGATTCTGCTAAAGTTAACAAGACAAAGATAAATATCTGAGAACAACTGAATATTATGATAGAAGGAAAATCATTTTAGAAAATTAGTGTTGTTAATCTACCATTTGCCTCTTATAATAGCTAAAACAAAACAAACAAAAAAAATTGGACCCATAAAATAAAGAGTATGAGAGGCATGTGATCAGAAAAAATCAGTGTATCAAGTAGGATTTGTTCAGTTTAAGCAGCTGTGGAGTTCAGGAGGAAGACTTCGTCTCAGGAAGGTATTCATTGGGCTGTTCTACAGCCAGCTGGTTCTCAATGACATAGCATGCTCTGTAGCTTTCCAGAACCCGGGCCTGGAAGTACGCCTTGTCCTTCTCCTGCCAGGCGTCTGACTCGATGTACACGTTGAAGGGGTCGTTGGAGTGCTCCAGCTTCTTGGAGCGGATGTAACTCAGCATGATGCCCAGAGTGAAGAAGCCAAAGAAGCCAAGCACAATGAGAATGTAGAGCACCTCCAGTCGACTGTCACCACTGCTGGTGGACCTACGGGCTAGGGCAGACACGTTGCCACCCTGAGGAACCACTTCCGGCCACAGTCTGGTCAGAAAGGGCATTATGACTGTGGCATTTGACAGGATCATGGTGTCAAGAGTTCACTGATGCAGAGGGCAAACTTCCAAGAAGAAAAGTACAACCTGAAATCAAAAAGTACACATTGGCCAAACACACACTTACATGCACACATGCATATACCAAAAAAATGGAACAAATCTGTTGACATTGTGTTGATTTTTACTCATAGTGAGTGACCCCAAGTGTTGCAAAGTGGAATCGAGTGCCATACAGTTAATCTGGCTGCAATCTTTACAGAAAGAATCCCTGGTGGCACATTGGTTAAGTACTCTGTTTACCTGGTGATAAGTCCCCTCATACTGCCTGGTAATATGTTTCTGAAATATAGCTGTTACAGCCCCTACAGAGTGCAGTTCTGCTCTGACACATACGGGATCACCATGATTTGGAACGGATTCAGCGGCAACTGGTTTGAGCTACCCAGTGATTCCACAGGAGAAAGATAAGGATATCTGCTCTTGTGAAGATTACAACCTAGAAACCCTATTGGGGCAGTCTTACTCTGTCACATGAGATCACTATGGGTTGAAAATCAACTTGATAACACCTAACAACAACAATCTTTATTAAAGTAGATCACCAGGCCTTTCTAATGCAGTAGGGTGGGTTCAAACTGCCAAGCTTTGGGTTAGTAACTAAGTGCAAACCATTTGTACCACCCAGGTACCTATACACACATGGATATAATTTTTTTAAATCTCAGGTGACAGGGTAAAATTTACATTCTGTGTCATCTTTGATCTGCATAGGGCCCTCCCTTCATTGATCAACTGCTACATTGCTTCTGTTTAATTTTCGTTCGCTACTTGCACTCCCATGTCTACAACGGGTCATGGGAACGAGCTCCAATATGTGCGCCTTGTGTGACGTTCTTGTATCTCAGTTTAAGTAAATGTTCTGCGGCTATCTGTCTTGCTCTGTCTTTTCCCTTCTTTTCTCACCACTGTGTTGTTTATGTCAGGTGCAGTGGCTAAACACTCAGCTACTAACCAAAAGGTTGATGGTTCAAGACATGTCAGTCTGCTTCCATAAAGATTGACATCCTTGGAAACTCTTTGGGGCAGTTCACCTCTGTCCTACGTGGCCACTACAAGGCATAATCAAATGAATGGCAGCGATTTGGTTTGGTTTTTGTATGGTTCACTCTTATTGCACTGTGTACCCAGATTCCCTTACTTCTTACCATTTGGTAGTACCCCGGCAAACACCCACTTCTTTTCTCTGCCCACTCTCCCAGAGATGGACACTTGTGTGGCCACTAGGTCCATGAAACTCAGGTGTCACAAGCATCCTGATCTGCATCCTCCTATAGACCACCCTCCCCAAAATTACACCTCCCATAGCTAATGAAGGAGTCCTAGTGTGGCACTGTGGGGTAATGTGCTGGACTGAAAAGTTGCTTTGAACTGCAATGTCAGTGGTTCAAGCTCACCAGCTGCTGCTCCGAAATAGAACTTGATTGGCACTTAACAACAACAACATAGTTAATGACATCGGTTTATATGACTATCCATATGGAAGAGGAACATTCCTCTAGGGCAGGGGTTATTGTTGTTAAGTGCTGTTGAGTTGGTTCCAATTCATAGCCACCCTGTATAGGGTTTCCAAGGAGCAGCTGGTAGGTTTGAACCACCAACCTTGCAGTTCAAACCTATCCTGTGGTTGAGTGCTTATCCTACAGTACCACACCAGGAAAGGGGTGGGGAGCCTTTTTTCTGCCAAAATTTATATAATTTGTGGGCCAAACAAAATGATCAACTTAAAAATTAGCCTGCTATATTTGGTCAAGCATTTAATTAACTCCCTCTTAATATGAAGACTGGGATTATGATTCCCTTGGCAGGGCCAGACCAATTTCAAGGACCTTATATGGCCCATGGGGAGTCCTGGTGTGGCATCGTGGTTTAAACCACAAGATTGGTGGTTCAAGCTTACCAGCCACTCCTCAGAAACCCTGTATAGGGTCGCTGTGGGTTAGAATCACTCAACAACACTTAACAACAGCTGCAACATACAGCCAAGGGCAGGACATTACCCACCCCTGCTCAGGAGCAACTCTGTATGTTTGAATTGAAACCCTACCCTATTGTGTGGCATTCTTAGGGATGACTATAGTGACATTATGCACAGAACTTCTCTGCAAGGGGCCAATGCGACAGCTTGGCCCCTCTCTGTCCACTGCCCTAAACTGAATAGCATGTAGAAAGTGCCATTTCCCCCATCACCTTATTGTCACGGTCCCAGAACACCTGTAGTAGGCCTAGGAATTGTAAATGTTGTCTCCAAATAGTTCTAGAATTCCATAAGTAGATCCCTGAGTTCTAGAAAGTGCATCTAGCTGGACTTGAGACCACTGATAAGCAAAAATAGGTTTCTTTCTTTCTTTCTTCTTTTTTATTTGACAAATGCTGGCTTCTACCCTCATTTCCTGCTGGAAAACAAAAGGTCAAGTTGATTAAGACACATTCCAACTCAATATAGAGCCACTTGGGGGTTATTAGCTTTAAGTGGTTTTATTCATTTCTCAGTACCTTCACATTTAGTCAAGTATAGCACATCTTAGATGAAGGGTATGTCCAAAAACACTGTGGAAAAGAAATCCTGGTGTATACTAGGGCAGCTTAGCTTTGCTCAACTAGAACAGGGACTCTGACACCACCTAGGACAACTGTCTAAGGTAGCCTAGTGGATTATGAGCTGGGCTGCTAACCTCAAGGTCAGTAGTTTGACTCTACCAGCTGCTCTGCAGGAGAAAAATGAGGCTTAGTAATCCTCACAAGTCCATGAGAGCCAAAATATGACCTTGAATATATCCCAACTGAATTTAGGGATCATCTGAAGAACAGATTTGATACATTAAACACTAAAGACCGAAGACCAAAGAGTTGTGGGATGACATCAAGAACATGATACATGAAGAAAGCAAAAAGTCATTAAGAAGACAAGAAAGAAGGAAAAGGTGAAAATGGATGTCAGAAGAGACAATGAAACTTGTTCTCCAGTACAGAGATGCTAAAGCAAATAGAAGAAATGAGGAGGTATAAGAGCTGAACAGAAAATGTCAAAGATCAGCTCAAGAAGATAAAGCCAAATATTACAACAAAATGTGCAAAGATCTGGAATCAGAAAACCAAAAAGGAAGAACACGCTCAGCATTTTTC